AGAATCAGAGCCCTGCTGAAGCAAATCTTTCTCTGTAAGGTCAGCCACTGCACAACAGCTCCTCCACGATAGCTAACTAGTCTTTACAACAATCAGCCTGAGGGTCAATCCCTTCCATCAATGTGCCAACAGCAACCAAGGCTCAATTACAACAGGAGGGCACGCACAACCCATACAAGGAACACACCTGGAGCACCAGCTCAGAATGCACCACTGGGCCCCACAGGACACTTACTACATAACGGCACTCTACTAAAACCTGGAGACATAGCAGCTCTACCCAATACATAGAAACAAACACAGGGAGGCAGCCAAAATGGGGAGACAAAGAAACATGAAAGAAATGAAAGAAAAGAACAAAGTTCCAGGAAAGAACTAAACAAAATGGAAACAAGTAATCTACCCGATGTAGAGTTCAAAACAGTTGTTAAGTTTTTATATGGAAGTTCAATGAACTTAGGGGAAGAGTAGATGAACTCAGTGAGAACTTTACCAAAGAGATAAAAAAAATAAAAATGGCAATAGAAAACATGAAAAATAACCAGTCATAAATAAAGAATACAATAACTGAAATGAAGAATATATTACAGAGAATCAACAATAGATTAGATGAAGCAGAGAACCAAATCAGTGATTTAGAAGAGAAGGTAGCAGAAAATAGCCAATTAGAACAGCAACTAAAAAAAACAATTCAAAAATATCAGGATAATTTAAAGAGTCTCTGGGATAACATTGAGTGTACCAATATTCACATCATAGGAGTACCAGATGGAGAAGAGAGAGAGCAAGGAATTGAAAACCGATTTGAAAAAATAATGACGGAAAATGTCCTTAACCTGGTGAAAGAAATAGACATACAAGTCCAGGAAGCGCAAAGAATCCCAAACAAGATGAACCCAAACAGGCCACACCAAGACACACTATAATTAAAACCCAAAAGTTAAAGACAAAGAGAAAATCTTAAAAGCAGCAAGAGAAAAACAGTTACCTATACGGGAGCTCCCTTAAGACTGTCAGCTGATTTCTCAACAGAGACTTTGCAGGCCAAAGGGATTGGCAGGAAATATTCAAAGTGATGAAACACAAAGACATACAACCAAGATTACTCTACTCAGAAAATCCATCATTTAGAATTGAAGGACAGATATAAGAGCTTCCTAGACAAGAAAAAGCTAAAGGAGTTCATTACCACCAATCCAGCAATTCAAGAAATGTTAAAGGGACTTCTTTAGGAAGAAGGAAAAAGAAAAAAAGATTAAAAATATGAATAATAAAATGGCAATAACTACATATCTAGCAACAATTACTTTGAATGTAAGTGGATATGCTCCAATCAAAAGACATAGGTTGGCTGAATGGATAAGAAAACAAGACCCTTACATATGCTTCCAACAAGAGACTCACTTCAGATTGAAAGACACACACAGACTGAAAGTAAGGGATAAAAAAAGATATTTCATGAAAATGGAAACAAACAAAAAAGCTGGGGTATCAATACTTACACCAGACAAAACAGACTTTAAAACAAGAGACAAGGACCCAGTAATCCCACTTTTGGGTATTAACCCAAACAAACCCAAAATGCTACTTTAAAGGGACATGTGTATCTATATGTTCATTGCAGTATTATTTATAATAGTCAAGATATGGAGGCAATCTGGGTGTCCATCAATGGATGAATGGATAAAGAAGAGGTGTTAAACATATACAATGGAATGTTATTGAGTCATATTTTTATTTATAAAAATAAATAAATAAAATCTTGCATCTGTAACAACATGGATGAACCTAGAGGGTTTTGTGCTGACTGGAGTAAGTCAGACAGAGAAAAATAAATGCCATGTGATTTCACTTATATGTAGAATCCAATGAAGAAAATAAATAAATAAACAAAAGAGAAACACTCATAGATACAGAGAACTGATGGTTGCCAGATGAAAGGGGGTTGAAGTGATGGGTGAAAAAGGTGAAGAGATTAAGAAGTACAAATTGGTAATTATAAAATAGTCATGGGGATGTAAAGTATAGCATAGGAAATATAGTCAACAATATTGTAATAACTAGGTACAGTGTCAGATGGGTACTAGATTTGTCAGAGCAATCACTTTGTAAGTTATATAAATGTCTAATCACTATGTTGTACATCTGAATATAATATTCAGATGTACAACACAAAATCTTATGCCAACTGTAATTGAAAACTAAAAAAAATTGTTTTAAGAGAAAAAAAATTGTATATGCCTGTTTATCTTTTAACACCTGTGAAATGTTTTAAGTTTAGAGTTTTGTAACAGACCATGATTTTTTGCTAAAGCATCTTGAGTAAATTTTTTCTGCCCTCCGGAGCTAGGATCTCTCTGCTCATATATATGAAGTAGAACCATAGTAGGCTGTTGTACTGAATTAAATGGTGGCTCCAAAAAGATATGTTCATGTCCTAATATCCAGACTCTGAGAATATGACCCTATTTAGACAAAGGATATTTCCAGATGTGATGAAAGATCTTGAAATGAGATCATCCCGGTGAGCCCTAAATCCAATAACAAATGTCCTCATATGAGACAGAAGAAGACACAGACACACAATTAGGAGGAAGTAACGTGACCAACAGAGGTGGAGATGGAGTGATGCAGCCAAAGAGGCCAGGAAACACCTGAAGTCACCAGAAGCCTGAAGCAGGATACAGGATCCTCCCATAAGCGTCCAGAAGGAGAGAATCTTTGCCGACACCTTGATTTCAGACTTCTGGTCTCTAGAACTAGAGAATAAATCCATGTTGTTTTAAGCCACCCAATTTGTGGTAGTTTGTTAAGCAGCCCTAGGACACTAATGTAGCTGTCCATTTCATTGCTGTGGATCTGATTATCAGTTAACCATAGTTACAAATCCCCAAAGGGTCAAACCACTGTGCCCCTAAGGCTTCTTCTTATAACTCTGTCAACTTTTTCTCTGATGGTTAAGCTTCACCCCCTGACTCTAGCATTGGGGATCACATTACTCCCATTAAATCAGGTTAGTAATTTCCACTGCAGCACATCCACTGTTACCTCCAGCCTACAGGGAACAGCCACCACAGAGCTTTTCAAGGATGCTGGTAATCCACTCACAGTTGCATTTCATAATGCCTTGGTGAAAACCCTCTTGTGGAGTACAGACACCTCCAAGAGGTACCCAAGAAAGGTGCAGATAACAGATCCACTCCGACAATCCATCTTCCTGAGTAATGTTGTCAAGACAAGTTCTGGCATTTCAAGCTCCTTGAAATAAGTCACTTTTGAGTCCAGCTTTCAGTTAATATAGCTAGCAATTCTCAGGACCTCAAGCCAACCACACTAAACCCTGAATTCTAGGCAAGAACATTGATCTAACTTGACATAATCTCTTGTTTTATCCTTTTTAGTCTACTACACTTAGGATAAACTCTTATCCATGCTCTCAATTCTTGATAAAAATTGACATGCTCCTACAACTCTTTCAGTATAGGGACTAACATACTAGACCACATCCATTCTTCTTCACCAATATCCTTACCTTAGCACGAGATCTAACCTGAGTGCACATTTAATTGACAACACAACTCCATGAACCTTACAATCAGGCTCCAGACTTAATCCTCAGTTACATCTGTCATGTATATACAGGCGGTAAGTAATTTCTTTCGAGTCGTCATAAAAGCTTTCTGAATTTCTGTCTGGGCCTTGTGTTGCACATTCAGGGCATTCAATTTATATCTTCCATTATGAACCCTCTCTAGTGTAAGAAATAAAATCCTATGCCACAACCTTTGTCCTCAAGTTATTTGATCTCTCTATGCTTATCTTCCATCTACAGCCCTTTCTATGCCACCACTTATGATATTTTAAGTAATCATGATGCTATGACATGCTGCAAATTATCAGTGTCCCATGGCCCGCTGGCAAAGAGATTATTATGTATTTGCTCCTCAAATATGTAAGTAGCTCAAGTCTAGGATTCCATTTTAAAGTACAATTTCTGGGGCCCATCCTGGTACCAATTACCATCTGGGTCGGGGTCCAGTAGGAACCTGGTGACACACTCAAACTGGGTTATTCAAGAAGATTTAGTAAAAGAACTGTTTACAATGGAGAGGTCACTGTTGAAGAAAATCAAAATGAAAAAGTGAATCACCTTAAAAATCTAGCTACAAAAGAAAACCATTATCACTTATAAACTGAAGAAGAGAGGGAATGAGTCTCAGAATTCAAAGAGTGCTGTAAGTATGAGGGATGACCACACACCAAGAGATGTAGTCTTAGGCTGGTAAATGCAGTCACTGACAACAGACCAAAAATCAGATGGGAGAAGCCAGGGGA